AGTAATACGGTGCCCGCCGAGCGTGGGCCTGCGCGTGCCCCGCGCCTCCGGGCTCGCTGGGCGGCGCCAGTGCGTCTGCGCGCGCGGCGGCGCGTGGTGCTGGAAGTCCTGCTCCTCCGGCCAGCACGGTCCAGGCTGGCCTCTTGGCAGTTCCAGAAACACGCGGGTCAATAAGGCTTCCCTCCTCCCCCAGAGCACGGCCTGCGGCGCCTGGGCAAAGAGCGGCCGGGGTTCGCCCCCGACCCTCCGGGCGGAGCGGCCGGGTGCCGAGGGCTGTCGCCTGCCCGGGTGTCTGGCGGCGCCGACCCGCAGTGGAGCTCCTGGCTGGTTTCCGATGTCCCGGACACCGGCGTCCTGCGCCCGGTGGTCAGCAGCACTCAGGTCCCTGGCTGCCCGGCCGCAGCCAGGCCTCATTTGGTGATGTCTAGGGACATTTTGTCATGGCCGGCTGCGCGCGGCCTTCAGGACCTCAGGTTTCTGGCTGCCCGACCAGAGCTCGAGCTCAGGAGCCCGTCTGCCGGCGGTCGGCAGGACATCACTCTGCACTCTGCCCAGCAGGGGCCGCCAAGTCGCAGAAGCTTCTCCGTAGCTTGGGCTAGATCTGGGCAACTCCTACACTTTGAGGGCATTTTTCTTGGGAGGCAGTCAGAAATGTGAGAAGCTTGAGGCTGTTCTCTAGTGAGCTCTTTCCTTTTTTCCCACTTTAAAAAAAATTTGTTCTGATTAGTTCTACCTGACAGTAGAATGCACTTTGCATCATACATATATGGAGGGTGACTTCTTATTCTTCTGGTTGTAGATGTAGAATCACACTGGTCGCGTAGTTCCATGTGCACAGAGGGTAGTAATGTCCACTCCATTCTACTATCCTTCCTACCCAGTGTCCCTCCCCTCCCTTCACTCCTAATCCAAAGTAACTCTATTCTTCCCTAGCCCCCCACCCCTTATTGTGAATTACCATCCGCATATCAGAGAGAACCCTGGGCCTTTGGTTTTGGGGGATCGGCTTATTTTGCTTAGCATGATAGTCTAGCTTCATCCATTTACCTGCAAGTGCCATAATTTCATTCTCCTTAAAGGCTGAGTAATATTCCATTGTGTATATGTACCACATTTTCTTTATCCATTCATCTGTTGAAGGACATCTAACTTGGTTCCATAGTTTAGCTATTGTGAGTTGAGCTGCTATAAACATTGATGTGGCTGGTTCACTGTAGTATTTTATACCCAAAGGACTTAAAATGTTGATTTTAAGTCCTTTGGGTATAAAATAAGGAGTGGGGTAGCTGAGTCAAATGGTGGTTCCATTCCAAGCTTTCTGAGAAATCTCCATACTGATTTCCAGAGTGGTGGTACCAATTTGCAGATCCACCAGCAATGTATGACTGTACCTTTTCCCCACATCCTCACCAACATTTATTGTTAATTATATTCTGATAATTGCCATTCTGACTGGAGTGAGATGGAATCTTAGAGTAGTTTTGATTGGTATTTTTCTAATTGCTAGGAATGTTGAACATTTTTTCTTTCACATCTTCTTTCCTTTTATTGAAAAAAATTTTAGAAAATGGGATTGGCCTTAATAAAGGGCGCAAACAAATCAACAGGAATATACTATGGAAAACAGACAATATAAAATAAAAAATGTCACTGGCCTCTTCAGTTGGTTAAGAACAGAAAATGTTTAACAGGCAGGTCTGTTTTAGACAAATTTAAAAGCTATATTTTGTGGGCTTTTTTTGTAGTTTCCCTAAGTCAGATATATACACACCCACAAAAATGGTGTGTGAGGAAAGCTGTCATACACAAGAAGTTGTATCCTGAATTCTTCAGGAAACAGTTGTTGAAACAGGAATTAACACGAAGTCAGCAACAAGTTAACAATTTTTTAAAATTGAGTCTTCAAATGCTGCATGGCCCAAAGCTAAACTATAGAAAGTAATACTAGGTACAAAAAAAAAAAAAAAAAGTTTTGTACAGCTTTTAGCAAGAATGCTTTTCCAAAGCAAGTCAAAACAACACAATCAGCAGACCAAGGAAGCTACAGCTAGAAATAAGATCTACAACTTCTCGTATCCGTGCTAGAAAATCCTACTTTTCCAGAGAGACTAAAATTTCAGGACAAAAAAGGGACATTTTAAACATTTCTTTCTTTACCCATTTTAAGTTCTGTTTCTTCCCCCACCCATCCAGTAATAAAGCATGATCCAGCAGAAAGAGGGCTGCTTTTAGAATTGGCTATTTTATTTTTCTTTCTGTGGCAAGACTGGATATTTCAGGCTCCTTTGCATCTAAGACCAGTGTCCCACCGTGGTCAAAAAACTTGGCGTTAGATTTGGTGCATTCGGCTTCCTGCTGCTGCTTGGTTCTGCCACTGATGAAGGTCAGTTTCAGTGTATATTTATCATCAAACCTTTTGAGACTGGAGGACAGTTGCCAAATATCATCAGGATCCATCCCAGTAGGATCCTTCCTGTGAGCCACAAGAAAGATGCTCTTCTCCTTATATGAGGTATAAATGGTCAGAATCCCCATCATCACAAAATAGGATATGACACACAGAGCCAAAACTGGCTTGAACTCTGGAAAGGGGTGCATATAATCCCAAATCAAAGCCACTATGGCAAAAACAAAAAAACAAAAAACAGGAAATGGTGCAGATGGTGAGGCAACATCAATTAGCCCAAAATTCTGCACATACTTGTACTTTTCCAGAAGTACCTTTTTGGCAGAATCATCCAAAGAGTTTTTCACAGCTGATCCATCCTATTTGTTAATTTTTACAGGCTTATCATCAATTTTCCACTTATCTAACCAGCCACTATGGCTGCCGCCTGTCCCACAGCTGGGGCCACCACCACTTCTCCTGCCCTGTGCTGCTGCGGACAACTTGTCTCTGAACATTTTTTTTTTTTGTATATTTGTTGATTGATTTTATTTCTTCTGAGAAGTTCCTTAGCCCATTTATGGATTAGGTTATTTTATTTTATTTTGGTGTTAAGTTTTTTTGTTTTTTTTTTTTTTTTTGTGTGTGTGTGTGTGTGTAAGTAATTGGAGTTCTTTCTTTTTGCCTACCTGGGGTAGGGCATGCTGAGCACACACCACAGCCCCTGCTGAGGGAGAGACTCTGGGGAGCTTTCCAGGTGAATAGTAGGGGCATCTAGGGCACTGGCAAGTCGGGCAGCGGTTTCCAACTTCCTTGCTGCGTTGCTGCCTAGGAATGGCAGAGCTGCTGCGTATATCTGTGGTTTCTTTTCTTTTCTTTTTTTTTTTTTTAAAGACAGAGTGAGAGAGAGGGGGGGACAGAGAGAGAGAGAGAATTTTAACATTTATTAATTTTTTCTTAGTTCTCGGCGGACACAACATCTTCGTTTGTATGTGGTGCTGAGGATCGAACCCGGGCCGCATGCATGCTAGGCGAGCGCGCTACCGCTTGAGCCACATCCCTAGCCCTATCTGTGGTTTCTTAACTCAACCCTGCCTTGTTGGTTTGAGGCTGTGGAATGATGTTGGTTGTGTATTCCCGATTTTTTGTTTCCTTCCTGGAGCTTCATTATGTGGCTTCCAAAGAAGGCACATCCTGCTCAGGCAGACTCTTTTAAAGAGAGAGAGAGAGAGTTTTTTAATATTTATTGTTTAGTTTTTGGTGGACACAACATCTTTATCTGTATGTGGTGCTGAGGATCCAACCCAGAGCAGCGCGCATGCCAGGCGAGCGCACTACTGCTTGAGCCACGTCCCCAGCCCTCAGCTGACTCTTCACAAGCATAGCCTGCCTGGGGCTGTGGGAGCAAGTGTCTTCTGATCACAGACGCTGACTGGTGAATACAGGAATGTGCACACAAAGATGTGGACAGGGTTTGGGGTGGTGAGTGGCCATTGGTGGGTGGGCATGCGGGGCCTATTAGGTTCTCTCTACTTTTGTTTGAGATTTTCCACTAAAAAGGGTAAAGGGACAGCAGCCCACTTGTACCAGTGCCCTTATCTCAGAGGGAGCATGCCGCAGCTTCGTCTCTTAGGAATAATGTCAACATGCTCACCACCAGCTGCCTTCCTCCCTGTTATTCTGCTTCTGCAGATGGAGTAGCTGAGGCTGAAGTTTATTTTCTCACAGCTCTGAACACGCAAGGTCTCGGAGCAAGACAGATGCCTGCTGAGAGCTGTCCTGGTCACTGCATCCTCACTGGGCAGAGGGCAGCACCCTCTGGTGTCTCTTCCTCTTATTTAGGCACCAGCCCTGTAGAGTGGCTCCCATCCTTGTGACCTTTGTTTCCACCTGAAAGTCCTATCTCCACAGTCACAATGGGGGTTAGGGCTTCAACAGAAGGGGCACTAATCTACTTCCCAAATAGGACTGTTTCGGGCCTGGCTCTGCCAGCCAAACCCCGCTCCCCAGCCAGCCCTCCTTGCCATGAGGACAGGTGTTTGAGTTCCTGTCCTTGGAAAGAGCACTTGCAGCTGGTGTGCACCTCAGACCTCGGTGGGCATCCTTCTGCTCCGTCTCCCAGATACCTTGTCATGCAAAGGTGAGCCCTTTGGTGG